CTTCTTCTGTATCCCCCTGGCTAAACAGGGTCAATCATATTTCGCTTTTGAGTGGGAAAGTCCTTCAGATGGTTCCAAGTGCCAGCTAACTTGGACTCGCCTGCCACAGAGCTATTATAACAGTCCAACAGCTTTTGCTGCAGCACTTGCCCAGGATCTTAAAGACTTTGACACCCAACAAGCTTTCCTTTTGCAATATGGGGATGATTTATTGATAGTGGGGAAAAACCAGAAGGATGTTGAAAGTACTTCAATCGCCCTCCTCAATCACTTGGCTGAAAAGGGATGCACAGTATCTAGGAGGAAAGTCCAATGGGCCACTCAAGAAGTATAGGACCTGGGTTTTGCTCTGAGCAAAGGCTGCCATTTACTCCATGAGAGCCATCTCATCCCTGCCTGTGCCAACTAACGTTAAGCAGCTGCAAACTTTTTGGGCATCACTGTCTATGCACGATTGTGGATTCCGATGTATTCTGTTATTGCACCCCTTTATCAATTGACCCAAAAGGACATGGCCTGGGATTGGACAGGAGAACACCAGAAAGCATGGCAGGGCTTGAAAGATGCATTAGCTCTTGCTTCTGCTTTGGCTTTGCCTGACCAGATGACAGGCTTTGAACTTTCTGACTCTGAAATGAAGGGATATGCCCTTGGCGTTTTATTGCAAGGACTGGGTCCTGAAAGAGTTCCTGTCGCTTACCTATCTAAAGGACTGGATCCAGTAGCTAGAGGATGGGCAGCCTGTCTCCAGTCTGTTGCAGCGACAGCCATCCTCATCCAAGAGACACAAAATAACTTTGGGGGCACCCCTTAACGTCTATATGCCTCATTCAATTCAGACTCTCCCAGCATGGGCCACCTCATGCCGGCTCTCTAAGCATGCAAGGCAGATTTTAGAATCAGACTCACAGATTCACAGATATGAGAGGCTAAACCCAGCCACCCTCCTGCCTCCCCCCCCCCCCCCCCCCCCGAGGATGGTCCCAAGCATGACTGTTTAACTGTTTTGGAATCTGTGGTGGGCATTCATGCAGATCTTAGGACTGAGCCTTTTGACAATCCCGAGTCTCAACTCTGGACTGATAGCTCCTCATTTGTCAAAAATGGAAAAAGATGCACAGGACTGGCTATAGTTTCCAAAGATGGGCCCCTTCTCCTACGACAGCTCCCCTCTCACTGGTCTGCTCAAGCGGCTGAGCTCCTAGCTCTGATTGAAGCATGCCATTTGTCAGCTGGTCTGCGCACCAACATTTATACTGATAGTCGTTATGCATTTTTGGCTGCACACACCCATACAGCTCTGTGGAAAGCCTGTGGCTTTACAGGCACTGAGGGGAAAAGTTTAAAGATGAAGCCTTTGCTAGAAAAATGGCTGTCAGAAAACCATCTCAGTTAGCCATCACTCACTGCCCAGGCAGACCATAGTGAGATTTCCCAAGGAAACAGGGCAGCTGATTATTGGGCCCACCAAGCCGTTGAATCGGGCCCTGCTCTCCATTCCGAAGAATCCAGCCTCTTAGCTTTGCTTCCCTGTGATCCCAAACTATATGATGATAAGTATCAACTACACCCTGACAGAAAGTGGTGTGATGGGTGGTGGGTTGTCCAAAACAGAATCCTGCTTTACAGTCCCCCTCTGAGTGGCTTACAAATGTCAGCCTCTTGCCCCCAACCATCTGGGTCCTCATTTTACCAGCCTCTTTTCTATTCTCTCCTGGTCTGTCTACCTGAGAGGGACAGTCCTGCAAAAAGACTAGCACTGCGCTAAGCATTCAAAAGGGAGCTTTATTGTCAATAACAAATAACATTAAAAACACATGAGCCGATTAGGATTTTCCCACAAAACTAGAAGAGCATGTTGTTTCTGGGCAACAGCTGAATTTAACCCTGTCAGCCAACTGGTCCCATGTCCTCCAAAGCAGTTTGCCCAACAAGCCCTTTTCCACCCCGTTTTCACCCCAGCAGGATAAAGAACGTAAGAAGATCCTGAGCCTCTTTTGGCAAGCAAGGGCTGGAAACGAGCCCTCCATTTCTCTGTAGTTCTTAGAAATGCAGTGAGAACATATTCTTTTTTCTTTAGAGTCAAGTGTGATTGGACCCACAAGGACCCACAAGGAATTTGTCTCCAGTGCATAAGCTCTCACTGTACATACAAACAACTATTATAAATCATAAGATACAAACAACAGAGTGGTAAAAGAAGACACCAATAGGAGAGGGTAATAGAAGGATAATCTTAGGAAATCTTTGGAGAGCTGAGCTCCAAACCACCAGGCCCTCCACTTAACCAAGTACAGAGAGTATCTTAGCTGCTGCCACGCCGTCCGCTGCTCACCAGATCAAAATGCCTCCACCCTCAGATTCACCTCCCCAGGGCAGCCCTCTAAGCAGAACAGACTGGAAAATCAACTCCACGGGTAGCCTGAAGCTGTTTCTATTTTGATGGCATAGAAGAACAGAATCCTGCAAACATGACTGTGCTCCTCCTCCTCATGGTTCAGTGAATGAGGGAGGGGCTTCCGAATATTATCGCGTGGACTTCTGGATTTTAAAAATGCTTCAGCCCTTTTGCCTTGCAAGGGATCTCCATCAAGCTTGCCCTCTCTGCTTTCCACACCTGCTCTGTGTCCCCTCCACCACCACCCAGAACAAGGCACACCAGAGGGGCCCTTCGTGGCGTATCTTGGTGGCCCTGTCCCCGCAGAGTAACAACAGGCACCACCACCACCACAATCTTCCCAGGAGCCAACTTTTTCTGCACCTCTTAGAGTAGACGGTCACTTCCCATGTTCTCATTCTCTCATTTCAAGGAGGCCAACCATTGGCACTGCCCACCTCTTATGTGGCCCAGCTTCTTCTCTGTGATTGGCATCTTTTGGAAGCATGTCCCACAAATTTCCATTCTTTTCTCCTGCCTCTTTCCTTCTTCCATCCAGTGCTATATGTTCTCCATTTGATTTTTCCAGCATTATTGCAGCCTTCCCTCCCCTCCCTTCTCCCTTGAGCCACCTCTGAGCTAAGGACCCTCACTCTGAGCAGTGCTGTGCAATTTCATAGTCTCAACACGGCAACAACAGCAACTCATCCACATGACAGCACCTCCAGGGGAATGGACCAGCAAAACAATTGGACAGCCGGAGGGTCAGAAAAGGCATTCCCCTCAACTATTGGAATCACAAAGCAATTGGGCCACCATGTTTGCCCTACAATTATAAGATCTGGCTTGGAAGGGACTTTGGAGGCCTTCTAGTCTAACCTCCTGCCCAGGCCAGGAAATCCTCACAATATCCCAGACAGACAGGGGCCCAGTCTGGCTTGAAAAACCCCAGAGATAGAGCACCCACAACTAAGAAGGCAGCTCCTCCACTGCTTCATAATTGTCATTGTCGGAAAATCCCTCCTTCCTTTGAGTTTGGCCCTCCCTACCCAATCTGCCCCAGTGAGCCCCCATCCAGCAGCCCTCAGAAGCCTTGCAGAATAGCCCCCCTCAGGCATTTCAGTGCTCTCTGAGGATCTCTCCCCCCCCCCCGGGAGATCCCAGGGCGTTTGCCCAGCATGGCCCAGAGTGGAAGGGCTGCCCTTCCTGGTCCTCCCTCCTTTGAGGCAGCCTGGCTGCACTGGCCCCACTGAGCGTTGGCAGAATCAGTGGTGCCTTGTCTCTGGCTCAGCCAGCTATCTAACACCTCTGTGCACCTGACTTTCCCTACCTGTGGCGAGCCTTCGCTCCTCACTATTACACAGCATATGCTTAGCTATGGCCCAGGGTTCAAGTCTCTCAAGATCCTTGGGAGTCTCGAGCTGCTTCCTGATGGATTAGCAATCTCTCTCTCCCCGCCACCACGACCACCTGTGCCTGTGCCTTTTTTCATCTGGGTCAAAGACGCCTGCTGGGGATTCCTATGCAAGGAGAGTTTAAAGGTTAGAAAGAGGGAAGAAGCCCCCAAACTGCAGGGAAGCCCATTTTGAGGGGGCTTCTCAGCTCCTGTGCTCAGCCTTCCTTTTCTGCAGTGTCAGCAAAGACAGGGAGGGTCATTAAACTCAATTAAAACATTTAATCTCCCCTTTCCACTCAAAGAGCAGCTTAATGCCTGGGGCTACCCCAGAAGCCACATACCTGACTCGTCCCCCTTCCTGGATATGCCAAGAGAGTCCCCAGAATTCCTTGGTCATTTTTAAATCACATTTATCAAATTTCTATTTGGAAAGGAAAGCTACTGTGGGAGGATTCTTATCCAGATGGGCAGGTTATAAACAATTCCAGCCAATAAAGGCATCAAGAAAGTGGGTTCAGCCCAGCTGCCCTTCTCCTCCACCTGGCCCCAGCCTGGGATGCAGGTGTGGGGGGGGGGCAAGGCCATCAACAGAGACAATCCAGGACTTACATCCAGTGCAGAAAGATTGCATGAGGCTGCTGGAAACATTTCTGGACGTTGCCATTGGAACTGCGGCTGCAAATCTCTGGCAAGGAAAAGGGAACGTCGCGTGTGGTTGGCCCTGAAACATCTCCGCCAGCCGCTAGCTGCTGGCCAGGCACCATTGAAGGTGCTGCCTTTGAAGCCTGAAACAGCTGGGTTGGGCAGGTGGCGGTTCCAGCTGTTCAGAGGAGCAGCAGCCTCCCCCACCCACCACAGTTCTCTAGAAACATCAACAAGGGGGTGTCAGGGGGACTGGCTTCTCTTAATCTACTTGGATTTTTTGACAAGCCCCACAGCAAAACCTCCCTGCACATTTATAACGGAGCGGAGACAGCCTGACTGGGCCGGAGACGCTCAGCAGGACGGGTTGCCTTGGCAGAAATCCAGAGGTCCTGCCTACCAGCGTCTGCTTGCAAACCGGACTCCCAGCTCTCTGAACAGCCGTCCAAGTAACCAGCCCACTTTACAACAAGCACCAACATAAAGCACCAGAGGCACCAAGACCACGACTGTTTCTTCGAAAAAGGAGCGATCCGCTTCCCTGGGCAGGGAAACCAACGGCAGCTGCTCTGCAGGAGAACTCACCGCAGCTGGGAGTGGAGCTTCGTGGCTTTTGAGTTGAAGTCTTCCCAGACAGGGTAGGAGCTCTGGAAGACAAGGAGAAAAGAGGTTGAGTACCCCCGGCCGGGACGCCTCTCTGTTCCCTGGGTAACAGCAGAGACCCATAAGGCAGGAGGGGGGAAAGGCTGCTCCTTTCCCTGGGTGCCAGAAAGGTCCTGCTGGAGCCAACTCCTTCCCCCAAGTCAGAAGCCCCCCCCCCCCCCCGATCTGGGCCAGTCCCAGCCCTGCTCAGAGCAAACAGGTCATGCCACTTTGGCCACGCCAGGTGCGGTCTGTTTGTAAGGTAAGACATGGAATCTGCCAACCCTCCCCAGACACTCGGTGGCCCCTCCGGGACACAAGAAGATGCACACTTTCAACTTCATCTCTCAACAGTCTCCTTGCTTTCCAAAGAGGTCTCCACTGCTCTACAGGCTTCTGCTAAACCCAGCGACACAGCTCTGCTTCAGCAGCCCCAGTGACCCCTCCATGCGCCGAGGCCTCCCTGGAACCAACTTCCCTGAACTCCGTCTGCTCTCAGAACTGGCTGCGCCTCTGGACTCACAGCAGCCAGGAACTAGTGGACATGTGTGTGCACATGCGTGCGTGCGTTCGGAGCGTTGCTCTTGGATTTAGAGGGAACTGTGGGAAGTTTGGGAGGAAAAGTTTGAACAATAAAAGGGAGTTAAACCTTCACTCCAGCTGTGTGGCTTTGGTGCCCAGCCCCAGGTCAACGCAACTAGAGCCTGATGGATCACATCCCAGAGTTTTAAAGGAGCTGGCAGAGGTCATCTCAGAACCACTGCACCATATCTTTCAAAAATCCTGGAGCACCAGGGAACTACCAGAGGACTGGAAAAGAGCTGATATGGTCCCCATCTTCAAAAAAGGGAAAAAAACAGACCCAGGAAACTATAGACCAATCAGCCTAACATCAAACACCTAGAAACAAGTAAAGTGAGAACTAGCAGTCAGCACGGGTTTGTTAAGAACAGATGATGTCCTTAACGGTACAACGTCTACATGGAGGGAAGTAAGCAGTGGGGTGCCACAAGGTTCCATTTTAGGCCCAGGACTCTTCAATATCTTCATTAACGACTTAGATAAGGGAATAGAAGGGGAACTTACCAAATTTGCAGATGATACCAAGCTGGCAGGAATAGCTAACACCCTAGAACAGTGGCCCCCAACCTTTTTTGTGCCACGGCCCAGTACCGGCATCACAAAATGATCCGCAGCCCGGTACCGGCATCAGCACGCATGACAAGGCAAGGCGAGCCGAGCGACCGGCCAGCCAGCCGTCCCCCGCTTCTCCCCGCCACCTTCAACTCCTCCTTTGTGCTTTTTTGTGCTTTCTTAATCTCCTCCGCCATCGGGACGGCTCTTCGTTCGAAGCTGCCCCCCCCCCCTCGATGAAACTAAGGCACGAGGATTCCTTCAGGACCCAAACGCCGCTTTCCAACCGGAAAAGCTCACCCGGAAGCACTTTCTTGTCGAAACAAGATGGCGGCGCCCAGCAAACCGGCGGCCCGGTAGAAAATGATCCACGGACCGGTACCGGTCCGGGGCCCGGTGGTTGGGGACCCCTGTCCTAGAAGATAGGCTCAGACTAGAACACTGGGCCGTATCTAACAAAATGAAATTCAATGCAGAGAAAAGTAAAGTCTTACAATTAAGCAAGAAAAACCCAAAGGACACATATAGATTGGGTGAAACCAGGCTCAATAGCAGTAACTGTGAGAGGGATCTTGGAGTCTTAGTGGACAACCAGTTAAATATGAGCCAGTAGTATGCAGCAGCAGCGAAAAAGCCAATGCAATCCTAAGTTGTATTAACAGAGGGATACAATCAAGAATAAGGGAGGTGCTAGTACCACTCTGTAAAGCCTTAGTAAGACCACACCTAGAGTACCGCATCCAGTTTTGGTCACCACACTATAAAAAAGATGTTGAGACTCTGGAGAAGAGCAACCAGGACGATTAGGGGACTGGAGGCTAAAACACATTGATGACCAGTTGCAGGAACTGGGCCTGGCTAGTCTAGTGAAGAGGAGGACTAGGGGAGACAGGATAGCAGTCTTCCAATATCTGAGGAGTTGCCACGGAGAGGAGGAAGGGGTCAAGCTATTTTCGAAAGCACTCAGAATAATGGCTGGAAACTGATCAAGGAGAGATTTAACCTGGAAATAAGGAGAAACTTTCTGACAGTGAGAACAATCAACCAATGGAACAGAAGTTGCCCTCGGAGGTTGTGGGAGCTTCATCACTTGAGACCTTCAAGAAGAGATTGGACTCCCATTTGTCAGAAATGGTGTAGGGTCTCCTGCTTGGGAGGGGGTGTCCCTTCAAACTCTTGTTAGTCTGTAAATCTGGGTTTGGTGTCCATTGGCTTCCATGTCTACTTATTAACTATTATTATGGGCTGTTATTTACTTTCTTTAAAGTAAATCCATGAATAGCTAGCATGCTGTGAAGGACAGCTATTGGGAGCCTGCCTGAAAAGCCCACTGCAAAGCAAAAGCTTCAGTGGAAACCCTTGTCTGGACCCAGAGCAGGGGGCATGGCCTGCCCAAAGCCCCTGCCTGCTCTTGGCCTGGCTGTGAGGAGGCCAAAGACTAAGACTCATCGTCCCAACAGGCCGGACATGGAAGATGTTGCCAGGAGCAGATTTCGCCTGATCTTAGAAAAAGGGGCTCATCCCCAGGTCCCCTGAGTGCTGGTGGGGAGGGCTGCCTGAGCTGGGCTCTGGTGCCCCTTTCTGCTTGAAAGCACTCCGTGGGGACCAGCACCTCATCTGGGCCTGGGCCACTTGCGCCTCCCTCTGTGGCCGCTCCTTTGGGCTCCAGTATGGGGAGGATTCTTGCACTGGGCTTTGCGTGGCCCGAATTGCCTGCACTGGCAGCATGGCAATCCACAGGAGCTGCTCTTGCCCAAGTCAGTGGGGGCGAATGGAGGGGTGAAGCAGCCCAGCCTCTCTTTGGAGCCGAGGTGCAAAGCCAGGTGCCTCCTCCTCCTCCTCCACCTAGCAGCCCTCATTTCAGCAGGGCAGGGGGAGGAGTGCCGAAGTGCCCCCTCCCCAGGCCTGAGCTTCTTTTAGTGCTCCTGTGGAAGAATGCTGAGCCAGCAGACGCAAGGTTTTTCCAAGTGTGGATCCAAAGCAGAGATGGGGCTCTAAACTCAGGAGTTCCAGTTCAGCCCCTCTCCTTCTGCCCACTCCCAGCAGGAGGAAAGCCCCCTACCCCAAGCTGTAATGAGAAACATCTGATCTCCTCCCTTCACACACAAAAAGGTGGCAGAGTATCAAGACCCCCACTTTCAACAACTAACTGTGCTTTTTAGTTTGCCTGAAATGAGCCTCCCAGCAAGTTGAGTCTCCTTCCCTTCCCAGCTGCTCTTCACCTGGGTGGCTGCGAAAGAGGGACCCCCGATGGGACTGAGTGGGGAATGCTGAGGAGCCAGTCAGGGGGAACGGTCAGAAGGAGCCTCCTTCCTTGCCATCAGGCATGCCATCTCCTCTACCCAAAACTTTCCATTATTGGAACAAAGAAATGAATAATGCTGCAATCATCGCATTCCTGGCAGGCTGTTATGCCAAGAAAGAGCATTGAGCTCTTTTGTGGGGATGCTGGAATACAGAGCAGGTTTCATCTGAGGGGGGGGGGGGGGGCTGCATTGCTGCCTTTGGATTGGTGCTGGGTTAGTCCCCACAAACAACACCTCAGAGTTGAGTCCAGTTGAAGCAGAACACGTGTCGTCACATCAATCAGGCTGCCCTGTCTCCGCATAAAGCAGGGGATGGATATTTATGGGAGATGAAATCAATGGGACCCACTCAGCCAGACAATGCTGTGGAAAAGGCAAGCAACATCTGGGAAGCCACAAGAACGAGGACATCCGAGCATTTCTCCAAGCGATGGGTGGTCCCTGGAGGCCCTGATCCTCCTGTGGAAAAGGACCCATCAATGGGAGCAGAGTCTTAAGATGGACAGGCTAGACCCAGCCAGAAACTGTAAGGACAGCCAGAGCCTTCCCATGGACCAGGGTGCCTGGTTCTGGTTCTGGTTCCAAAACAGAAACATAATTTGGTCAGACAGATTTCAAGTTGGGTAATATGAATGGGAGTGAAATAATGTTTTTACTTCAGAAAATGGCAAATCTATCAAAGATGGAAAGTTACATTTGTTTCTTTGAATAAATACACGCAAAGATTAGGACCAATGGTGCTATGAAAATGTTCATATTTATTTCTTAGATTTACAGGCTATGGAATTGGACCAACTCATACAACCTTCCGTTTACTTTTAAGGAGAGGAAGAACGTTTGTTTAAAAGAGAAGACACAAATTACTGAAAGATGTGCAAAGATCGGGATGGGGTGGAAAGATATTTTACTGATAAAAGAGACATGGAGAACAGAGGAGAAGAACCACGGTTGCACCAGCAGTTTCAAAGGAGGAAACGTATGAGAAATCGGGAGGTCTAAACTGCCATGAAGGAGAAACCATCTTGCAAGCTGAGAAGAGACCGTTGGGACCCTCTTCTTAGCCTGCCAATTCCAGGGCCGCCAGAGCATCGGGCAGAGAGGCAAGAGCTGGGGGGTCTGGAGGAATCGAGCCCTCCCTCATCATGGAACTTAGGGCCTTGGAGCTGTTTCAGGTTTTGCAATCGGGCTGGTGCAAAGTGAACCGTGGGAGAGCATCAACACACACTGGAAGATGGCAGCTAGGAGGGCTCCACCCGAAACTCCTGGGACCGAGGGGGGGCGGGTAAGCTGGGAGCAATTGGGAAGCGGGGGGGGGGGGGGGAGGGGGAGGACGAGGACACAGAGTAACTGGGAGATTTGCCAAGACTCCAAAGACAAGCCAAGTTACCTGTAAGCGCTCTCTCTCCCCCCACCCTCTCTCACACACACACAGAGAGGAAAATGACAGTGCAGGGAAGGAGGAGCACGAGGAGAAGGAGCTTCACGGAAAGCCACTCTGCCAGCCTCTCATGCAGGTGCAGGGAAGGCAGGCCTGGAGACCAGAGAGAAAAACCTTCTGGGGCAGC